CTGTGCGACACTGTCCCTAAAGTCAATAATATACTATATACTTAAAAATTTAAGAGGGTAGATCTCATGTTAAATGGTCTTTCCACAATAAATTTTTTAAAAATAAAACAACAAGCAATACAAAGTACCTCAATAAATGTAAGCAAAAAGGCACCAAACATGTCCGCTACATGCTAATTGCCCAAGTGTGCTAAGAAAAAAAAAAAGGGGGGGGGGGTGTCTTCTCTCTTCTCAGAGCCCGCTCCACTTATCTGCCAGGGTGGCTACTTGTGTTTTGCCTACTTCTCTAAAAAATCAAAACATGTACAAACGGGACATGGTCTTCAATCCAAGTGGCCTCTAGGGCATTTTCCTGAAAAACTACCCTGCTGTTGTCAGTCTGCAAGACAGAGAGCCATGTTTCATCCCAACCCACGGGGGCTAAATCACTAGTCAAAAACAAACTACAGGAACAGGATTCCACAAGATGCCCCCGTACACAACAAGAGACTGTAGTCTTGCTTTGAAAATACAGCGTAGAAAGATACTCCCAAGGACTTGCTGGATAGGTTTTGCTCTATTTCAAAGGAATGCCTGGCTAGGAATGGGAAGACCAAGTATCAGGAAAGAAAATGCAAAAAACTGGTTTAAGAATGTATGTATTTTTTTCCCCAAGAATTTTTGGTTTGTTACCTCCCAAACATAATATTCAGAAAGTATAAAATCCTATTTAGCATTAGATATGTAAAATGTGTATATTTATATGCCTGTTCTCTGTTCTCAATGAATAATTTTTAAAGCATGTATAAAATACTGTAGTACATCTACAGTGTCAGAAGTGAATGGTTCCTGTAACCATTTACATAATAAGAAACATAAAAGTTTGTAAAAAAAATTCTTCTGGGGCACTACCACTAACATAAAACAAAGAGTACCCAGTGTGATTGTCCTAATTAATTCTTGATCAGTTGAGTTGACTATGAGGCTAGGAAGTGCTGGAAATATGGCTAGTCAGTACTGAGACGTGCTGGAAGCAGAGAATACACTCTAAATTCCAAAGAGTTAGTAAGAAGAATGGAAAATATCTGGTTAATAACTTTTTATTACATATTAAAATGAAACTTTGGATACAATGGGTTAAATAAAATGTTAAAGTAACTTTATCTGAGCATTTCCTGGCAGTCCACTGGTTAGAACTCTGCTCTCTCACTGCTGAGGGCCCAGGTTCAATCTCTGGTCGGGGAACTAAGATCCCACAAGCCATGCAGTGTGGTGCAGCAAAAAAAAAAAAAAAAAGTAATTATTTTATCTGTTTCTTATTAGATATGCCCAATAGAAAATTTAAAATTATATATATGGCTTGCAATATATGTCTAATATATTTCTATTGGACAGTGCTGATCTAGTGGTGAAAGTGAAAGTCAAAGTTGCTCAGTCGTGTCCGACTCTTTGCAACCCCATGGACTATACAGTCCATGGAATTCTCCAGGCCAGAATACTGGAGTGGGTAGCTCCCTTCTCCAGGGAATCTTCCAAACCCAGGGATCGAACCCAGGTCTCCCGCATTGCAGGCTGATTCTTTACCAGCTGAGCCACCAGGGAAAGTCTAGTAGTACTGATTCTCAACTGCAGGTGTTCAACAGAATTATCAGAGAAGCTTTTTCAAAAAGCGATGCCCTGGACTGTGGTTTGAAATGAATCAGAATCTCGAGAGCCAGGAACCCAGTAGGTTTATTTTTTAAAATACTTAGCTGCTAATTCTGAGAATCACTAATCTAGAGGTTAGTGGACATAATCATGTCCTTGAGTTTTACTGAACTGACCGTGGAATGAACACTGGTAGACAGTTTCTTGTAACTGACTTCTGTAGAATTAGAAATAATAATGCTTATTACCTGCTGTTGACAACTAGAAAATAACAAAAGTCCTGAGGTTAGGGAAAAAAGTTGGAACTTGGCTCAAAAATAGCTAAAACTAAGATACTCTAGATTTCTTTCATAAGGGTGGTAGGTCTATGAAATAATAAAGAACTTGGCCTTTGTCCCCAGCTCCTGGGGGACAGGCTCTAAATCCTTGGAATTTCTCAAGTAATAGAAGTGCCTTCATTATTCATGAGTTCCGTGGATCACACCTGAGTTTATGTGAAGAGATGAGATAACTCAGGACAGGGTCTGCTCACTAGAAAAAACAACCATATGACTAGAGGGTCACCTTGGACCTCTGGGGAGTGGACAGGAGCTGGAGGGTGAGTTTAATCAAGTGGCCAATGATTCAATCAATGGTGCCATCGTAATGAAATCCTGATAGAAACGCTGGACCCTGAGGTTCAATGGAACTTCTTGGCTGGTGAACAAATTGATATGCTGGGAGGACTACGTAACCGGATTATACAGGGAAAGAAGGGGAAAACTCTGTGTTTAGGACCCACTCAGCCCTCACTCTATGTATCTCTTCATTGAGTTGGTCTGGATCTGTATCTTTTATAATAAAACTGTGATTATATGTACAGTACTTTGCTGAGTTCTATAAGTTGTTCTAGTGAATTACTGAACTCGAAGGAGTCATGGGTACCTCCAACATAATAGCCAGTTGGTCAGAACTCTGGGCAACCGGGGAAACCTACTTGTGGTCACATTCTGAAGTAGGGGCAGTTTTGTGAAGACCTGAACCCTTAATGTGTGGCATTTAACACCAGGTGGTAAATGTTAGAACTGAATTACAGTATACCAACTGATGTCAGGATAAAGTCATAACTGCACATTGTTAACAGAAACATTTGTAAGAAAAGGAAAGATCTTACAAAACTAAATTCAAGCAAATTCGTAATAACTGAATAAATTATGTTCTAAAAGTTGAATACAGTATTCTGTAAAGCTGATAATTCATTTTATGGGCTTCCCTGGTGGCTCAGTAGTAAAGAATCCCACCTGGCAATGCAGGAGACACAGGTTCAATCCCTGGGTTGGGAATATGCCCTGGAGAAGGAAATGGCCGCCCACTCCAGTATTCGTGCCTGGGAAGTCCTATAGACAGAGGGGCCTGGTGGGCTCCAGTCCATGGGGTGACAGAAGGGTCGGACACGACTTAGCCACTAAACAACAATACATTTTATATTACTCAACTAACAAAAGGACCTAAGATCTAAAACAGCATTAGAGCAATCTGGGCATTTTCTCTGGTTTTCACAAAGACTGTTTTATCTTTCCTTCTATTTTTTTAAGTCTTTATTGAAGCAGTTACAATATGGCTTCTGTTGTTTAAGTTTATAACTCTGTATACACACAACCAAGGAAGACTTCAGAAAGACAGCAAGACTACAGCGAGACTCTGTTCAGGTCTCCAGGAGAATGTGTGTCCCTTGGATGTTGGGAGGGACGGGTATACACGTCTTGAAACCATATCAAGAATAATCATATCAGAGTCACACCCCTGAGAAAGAAAGGTGAATAAGATTTCTTAACAGTTCAGAGGCATTCCTCTCAATTTTCCAACTGACTTTCCCTCACCAAACTGGACACAGATCCTCAAATAAAGAAAGCAGGACAGGGAGAGCAATTCCGAAAGACAAGGGGAGCAATGAGGAGGGACGAAGACCAGAAGCAGCGCTGCAGCCCGACTACAGATCACTGCCCAAAGCAGGAAGAAAAAGCCAAGGTCCTGAGAATTACAGAGGGTGGGAAGTATAGCGTGCAGTGCTGCACAATTATTCAAGGAATGCAGGAGAAGAAAGAAGTGCGCGCGCTGAGCCCATGTCTGCCATGAGTACCTTGCCCGCTCGCTGAAGGACAGCCATTCGTTTCTGGAAAATGAGATTCTGAAATCCATGGAGGCGAAAAGGTACCAAGAGATGCTTGCTAAATCAAGGATATATGCTTTTCTCTGCCAGCCATAAGGTATTTTCGAGGGAGAGGAGTGAAAAGGACCTCCTGAGACAAAGAAGACAAGCACTTTCTTCTGAGGACGCTGCTGCCCGGCCGCTGACCCCTGCTGGATCAACACTGGCATTCAGTGGCCGCGAGCGGCCGCGCACACCTCTTTGTCTCTAGAACAGCTGCTACTGCTTTGGGTGAAGTGGCAATTCAGAACAGAACCATTTCTGTTGTCTGTAACTAAGGATCCCCAAAGACACGGTACTTTGTAATACAGAGTGAAGAACCAAAGGCCATAAAGAAGAAATGGAGGGGGTGCAGCTTAAGATTGGCTGTGGTTATTTATATTTCCTGTGGTATTACTGAGGAGAATGAAAGTACGGAAGGGAGATGCCTAGAGGTGGGGATGCAATTCCTAGGTTTTTCACTGCCTGGGAATACTTGAAAAAGAAATGAGATTATTAGATAAAGTATTTCCATCTTAAAACCAAAGCAATATTTTGGTATTATTGTTAGAACTGGAAACAAATTTCCATATGTACATTTTTTTAAGGGTGTAAGAAGGTAAAATTAATGGAATTAACACAGCTTATGTGAGTAATTTACTTGAATTTAAGTTTGCTTTCTGAAGTGTGATTTTTAAAAACTAAATTTCAACTGCTAAATTTACATGTGTGTTTTTGGAGAGATCATGAAACTGGTTCAGGTTCAAACCACAGCAAACATAAAGGGAAAAAAGGCATTCCACCCAAAATATTTTTACATCCTGTTGACTTAAACTGCTATAAATGTGATTTTCTGGCAAAACTCCAGAAAGTAAAATGCCAGTAAATTCTTTCTAACTTAAAAGAAGAAAGAACTATGCCTCCTCCGTGACAGAACACAAGTAAAAATGAATGGAATAATTTTAACCTTGTATCTCAATTAGACCATACTGCCTCCTCTCTCCAGGTCAAAGATCAAAAAGTTAAAAAAAAGAAATAGCTGCCAAGAGGCTCTCCTCTCATGGTTTAAATGTATTCATTGTCTGCTCTACATTTCTAGCTAAAAAAATCACCACAGAGAACGGTCACACACATGACCCACTCCCCACCCCACACTCTCTGGAGAGCGCTCTGGTTGGCTCAGGTGCACGCACCAGCTCAGACTCACCTGTTTGGATGTGATGTGGGCAGCATGAACTGGAATTCCACCACGCAGGTGCTGTCCTTCAGCTGCCGGTGTTGTACGCTATTAAGTTCATAGGCTATATAAGCCCTTCGAACATACACCTGGTTAAAAAATAATCCTCAGTAAATACACTTGAAAAACAGAAACTCAGAAGCAGTTAGCCCAGGGAAGAGAGTCCTGAAAAGAGACGTGTGGTGCAGAAGAAGGTGGTCTCTGCTGACAGAAGTCCCAGTGCTGAATACACACATACATACATACCTTGCTTCAATCAATAAGGCTACAGTCTTACAACTATACCCATGACTATAAATGGAAAGGAAACCAGCCTGCCTCCGCTGGACACCTCTAGGTGTGCTGAAAGCCCTTTACACTAACCTAAACTCGAGAGAAACTTTGATCATTAGCAGAAGAGCATACAGAACCATGACTGTTAATTCATTACACATGATGATTTCAACAGAAGATAAAATCAGGGACTTCCCTGATGGTTTAGAGATTTAAGAATCCACTTTCTAATGCAGGGGACACGGGTTCAATCCCTGGTCCAGGAATATCCCACATGCCCCCCAGGGCAACTAATCCCATGTGCCACAACTACAGAGTCCACGTCCTCTGGAGCCTGCACGCTGCACCTGGAGAGGAGCCCAAGCACCACAACGAAGATCCCACGTGCCACAGTGAAGACCCGATGCAGCCAGATAAATAATTTTTTTGTAAAAAGAAGATGAAAGCAAACAGGGAGAAAAATGAGAGGTGCTGATTCTGGGCCACCTGAGGCGTGAAAATACAAAAGAGAAACAACTGAAGTACAGTCTCACTCATTCACTATCTTGTATACTTCTTCTGTTTCCCCACTGGCCCAAATCAATTTTACATTGTTCATATTGCCCAAATCCTAGGCAAAATCTGAAGGCATAATTTGACATATAATATCTCAAATACACTAACTTGACTCAAAGAAACAGCAACAGGCTGTTTCTCAGGAAAACCTGTCAGTTCAACCTCATGAACTTCACAGCCAATTTGCCGTGCACACACAATGGAACGTGGAATCTTATCAGCATGTGAGGTATACAAGGAAACTTTGCATTAAATAGCAATAAAAGCATTGTAGAACACTTAGATGTTTTTCAATTTTGGTATTTACTGAGTGGGATTCATGACAGTCTCCCCACAGAATACAAATAAAAAGTAACCCAAAGGAGCATGCAGAAGACTGTAGTGTCACATCACATAAAAATCATCTAAGACACTCCTTTTCCTTACCTCCAAAAAACATCTACTTGGCAAACTTTACAGCAGTATTTGGGGGCTGCAATTTTTGTGCTTAATGAGACAGTTATGCTACAGTGGACACAGCAAAGTCCATGAGTCAGAATGAGCTGGGTTCAAATGCAAACTCTTCCACTTATTATCCATGTGAATATAGACAAGTCACTTAACCTCAGTCTTACTTTCTTCTACTTCATGAAGTATTTGGAGGATTAAATGAGAAAAATAAAGCACCTAAAGCACAGTTCATTAAACTTTCCTTCTCATGCTGAAATAGTTCATAAGTTCATAAGAACTGCTTGACAATTCAGAATATGACTAGAATCCATTTTACTTGGCCCAAATCACAAAATGGTACTGTTCTGATCAGCCACATATTTTTTCACTTATTGTGTTACAGGGCATCCTCATCACTATGAAATGAAAGGATTCAAGTACCTGGAAAGTAGAATGAAAAATGCTGGTAGCTGTGACTGGAACCCAGAACCTGGTGATCAGTTGACACCCTTGACTAAGAGCAAGACCGATGTCCAGCATTTGTTTCAGAGGAAAAGACTCTACTCTTGAGAACCAACGTTACAGCCAAAGAAGAAGGACTGACAACAATAGCCAAGCAGGCAAAAGGAGTCGGCCAGAAGCTGAGAAAAAGGTGATGTCATGTTACTGTAAGAACCCACCTCCAGGGCTGCCATCCTCACGACCTGGTTGCTGTGATAGAAGAAGTTTGGTAGGACATCAAAAATTGACGTTTCGGACAAGATGAGTTTCTGGAAGGTACAAAGACAAGCTTCAAACATTACATCCATAAGAGAACAATTCCAATGGAAAATATTTAGCGTTAGAAGCATCAGTGAAACTTTAAGCATTTTGTCTGCAAACTTGTAAACTTATCTTCTCTTTGCATGAACTTACCTTCTCTCTGCCTTGGCTTCCTCAGATACAAAATGGGGAAACTAATAATACCTATTCTCAAGAGCTGTCGTGTTAGACAGTTAGTATATGTAAAATTCTTAGACATGCATTAACAGTGCATTAATTATATGCTATTAAATGTTTATGGCTATTATTATCCTTTCTGACTTATAGCTGAACTTAACGTTTAATATATTGTCTCAGTACTCCACTATGATAAACCATAGATTTGAACTCTCTATTTCAACTATGAACCAAATAAACAAGAATATCTACCCCCCCCCACTCTGTCCCCACTTCCTTAGTTTCCCCAGAAGGAAATACGAGAGAAAGCCAGAAGATTCCCTTGGCTAGGTATGATAATATTATCATTATTTCCAAGTAGAAAAATACAAAATCATTCCTGAGGAAATGATGTTTAAAAAACAACAGTCAAGGTTCTTTGAATTAGCAGCAAAATTAGCCAATATTCTTTTATAAAACTGGCTTTGTACAAAGCCTAATAGTAAGCATTAAAATAAAATTACACGATTATTTAAGTAGCTTTTCCCTGTTTAACTTATTTATACATCTGATTTCAAATATCAGAAATCAACCAGTACTGCCACTTCATTGTGTCCTAGAACACTTTCTAGATAAAAGCACAAGAGGTGAAGACCTCAATAGGACACTTCCATCAAGGCCAGCCTATAAAACTCTTAAGCTAAGCCACAATTCTAACAGCATTTTTATGGGGGGAAAAAAAAAGTATAAATCATCTTATAAAGTCAACAGATGAAACTTTATTACACAGAAAATTGTAATTGACTGAACTGATTACTTAATTAAACTCTGCTTGGGAATGAACGGGACAGCAGTGTAGAGGGGTAGAAAAGGCTGTAATGTATGTATACCTGCAGGTTCTCGATGCAAAACTGATGTCCGTACATGTCAATGGCTGATAGGAAGATAGACTCAACTTGGTTGTGGCGAAGCTCATATGATGGCAAATGGGAAGCAATAAGAACCTAGAGTGAGAGCAAAATAAGAGGCGTTAAGTTCCTGAGGGAGTGATCATTCTAGGCTCCCATTAAGCAGCTCTGATACAAAAGCAATAAATATAAATCTGGGTGTGCAGGCATCAAAGATAAAACAGAGGCTGAGTACCAGTGCTTCCGGGCCCTGAAACAGAAAGCCAGGGCCACCAAGTACTGCGTCTCAGGTGACTCTCGCCATATTTGCGTGGTGAGTGATCTCCAGTGGGGGCCGGGGGAGGGAAGGGAGAGCAAACCACCTCAATCAAGCTCCATCAGTGGTGCTGGGGACTGCACAACTAGCTGCTAACTGGGAATCAGGCCTGGCACGGAGCAGCTGTGGGGAAGGGGGATGCTGCAGAGCTAGCCTCTTGTAACTCTAAAGGGGAGAGACAGACTAGGAAAAGCTGCTCCAACAGCCCTGGGTACTCAGTAGAGGAGAGGGAGTCAGAATGTGACACCCACACATGTGAGGGGCAGAGAGAACGAAAGCAGTGTCTCAGACAAAGAGGGACATGGTGGGACCTGAATACCCTCAGCAGGTCGCTCAGAGGTTCAATAACTTTGAGTAATTCAGTGACATGGATGCAATTGTAGAGAAAGCAAAAGGTCACTAAACAACTTCAAATGCTGCTTCCTTGTCGATGCCCGCGCACTGGAACACAAACACAAAGGGAGTGCCAAACCCTCGCTTCCCTGCTGAAACCTTCTGGGGTGGAAATGCAGACTACGGGGTGAAACTAACTGGACTGCTCTGGGGTCGCGCTGATTGCCAGCACCGAAGATTCATTTCATCATCTTTCTGCTTTCCACACTTGATGCTTTGCTATAGACTTAAAAGTTTCACCTGCTTCTAAGCTCCCTTTGTAAAGTAAGAAATATTACACCTATTGTCTTCCTTCAGTTTCCTTTCCTCCACCTGACTTATAATGATAACGGGACTTTATGATGGGGGTGGGCTCCTATTTTAAAGAAATTTGAGGTTAATCTTTTCCATTCTCTTTAAAAAAACATACAGCACATGAGAACATTTGTTCTGAAGGCAATGAGCATATGTGGGAAATTGCATGACCTTTGGAGGTGCTGGGGAAGAGCTCATGAATGGACTTCCCAGTCTGTGAAGACCATCCCTCCCTCCGGATAACCAACTCGTGTCCTTACCTGGCGCGCTCGCAGTGCCACCTTCGCGTTGGTGGTCTTGCTGAGTTGAGTTAGCTCCGTGAGGATATTCAGCAGCTCATCAGTGAGGGTGGGGTCCCGGCCGCACAGCTGATCCTAATTGTTAATGTGACAAAGAACATACACATCCATGTTAAAAAAGAACTAAACATGGAACTCTGCTCAATGTTATGTGGCAGCCTGGATGGGAGGGGGGTTTGGGGGAGAATGGATACTTGCAAATGTGTGGCCAAGTCCCTTCCCTCTTCACCTGAACCTATTAAAACATTGTTAAATTGGCTACTCTGCTGCTGCTAGGTCGCTTCAGCTGTGTTCGACCCTGCAGCCCCCATGGACTATAGCCCACTAGGCTCCTCTGTCCATGGGATTCTCCAGGCAAGAATACTGGTGTGGGTTGCCATTCCCTCCTCCAGGGGATCTTCTCAACCCAGGGATCGAACCCCCATCTCTTATGTCTCCTGTATTGGCAGGTGGGTTCTTTACACTAGCGCCACTTGGGAAGCCCTAAATTGGCTATACCACAGTACAAAATAAGAAGCTTAAAAAAAAAGAACTGAGGTGGTGAGAACTTTGAATTGGGACAAGGAAATAAAAACAAAGTAAAGAGAGATGGATTCCTAAGATGCAAACATCCTGTTACCTTTATCCTAAACAGTGTGGTAAAGAGATCCCAGAGGAAGCTGCTGCCAAGGAGAAGCCCAAGGCCCTCAGCAAATCAGACTCAAAATTCCTAATGCATTTCTTTATGAACCAACACTATACTTCAAACACGCAGAAGAAGTGATCAGAGACCACTAAAAAGGAACAAGGGATTCTGGGTAAAAAAATAACAGATGATGTCTCAAAGTTTAAAGAGGTTTTAAATAATATAAGGCCTAAAAGCTTTCTTGGTCCCTCTTCTACTTTTGGAAAGAAGGAAGAATAAGGCAAAAGGAATCACTCCTGATGGTTTTCATTTCACAAACCAAATGTTCAGCATCCCAGGAGGGCACAGAACAGAAACATAAGCACAAATTATTCATTTACAAACACACACTGACTATTCTATACCCCAAATCATGTATCCTCCTGCTGTACAAAGAACCATTCCATGATATCTAAACATGGTGAATCCTTAGATGTATTAGAGGGGAAAACCAAGCTCCTACTATGTGATCCATGGTGTAATTCAGGACTGGGTCCTTAGTCACCAAAAAATTTAAAAATTTTAAGAAAAAAAAAATCTCTATCATATTTTGAGAAAACACATTTCTTCTCCAGTGCAGTATCAGTTTATTCCCTAAATTCACCCATTATCCATGTAATTTTCATCTAAACTGAAAAAAAAAAAACTGCAGATGCAGTTTTTATAAATGCCCATCATTCTTGAAGTTTACAGAGCAATCAGTAACAGTAGTTTGTAATACCACATCACATAGCTCCCTCTACTTGGAGTTTGAAATAAGCGCCTTTATATGTTAGTCTTTTTTTTTAATATTCTCTCTCACCCCACTATCAAACAGGACATGAATGACAGCCAGATCCTAAATGGCTTCCTGTTGCTGCCTTTTAATCTTTCCCCTTTCTCGATTATTGCCTTTTTCTTAAGGAATCTCCGTTTCATCTTTAACCTTCCCCATCTCAGGGATCCTCCTTATAGTCCCTCACCACAGCAGTATAGGTACAAGTGTGGGGCTTTGGGGGCAGAAACACATTTCCCCAAGCACTGTTTCTACAATCCCTACCACCTTCCACATCACAGGGTAAACAGTTTTGGAGTACTCAACGCTAACACGCTGGAAAGACAGTCTCTCAAACATTTTAAAGCAGAAATATTTTCTGGTTTCCCAATCCACGACCAGAGGTCTGCTACAGAGTAGTAAACCACATGACGGTATTTACAGTTAAGGAAGTACAAGTATTGTTTTCACCCACGCCAACAAAGGTTCGTCTAGTCAAAGCTATGGTTTTTCCAGTAGTCACCCATGGATGTGAGAGTTGGACTATAAAAAAAGCTGAGCACTGCAGAATTAATGTTTTTGAACTGTAGTATTGGAGAAGACGCTTGAGAGTCCCTTGGACTGCAAGGAAATCCAACCAGTCCATCCTAAAGGAAATCAGTCCTGAATATTCATTGGAAGGACTGATGCTAAAACTGAAACTCCAATACTTTGGCCACTTGACGTGAAGAACTGACTCATTGGAGAAGACCCTGAAGCTGGGAAAAATCGAAGACGGGAGGAGAAAGGGACAATAGAGGATGAGATGGTTGGATGACATCACTGACTCAACGGACATGACTTTGCGTAAGCACCGGGAGTTGGTGATGGACACGGAAGCCTGGCATGTTGCAGTCTGTGGGGTCGCAAAGAGTCGGACATGACTGAGCAACTGAACTGAACTGATGCACTCATCTGGGTGGAAGAAGAAAGTGACTGTAAATTCAGGGCTTGGTTGAGCATATGGTCACAGACTGAAGGACCTGTTCCTCCCATCCCAGGGCACAAAAGAAAGAGCAGGGAGAAAATATAATGAAGTCTCATCTTTTACTGAGAACTCAGGAGCAAAACAGAATTTCAAGGGAATATACAAAACCATCAGCAATGGAACCCCCTGGCAGCCTAATGGTTAGGACGCCGTGCTTTCATCGCTGAGGGCCCAGATTTGACTCCTGGCTTCCCTGCTGGCTCAGAGGGTAAAGCGGATGCCCACAGTGCGGGAGACCTGGGTTCAATCCCTGGGTCGGGAAGATCCTCTGCAGAAAGAAATAGCAACCCACTCCACTATTCTTGCCTGGAAAGTCCCATGAATGGAGAAGCCTGATAGGCTACAGTCCATGGGGTCGCAAAGAGTCGGAGACGACTGAGCGACTTCACTTTCTTTTCTTTTCTGGGGAACTGAGATCCTGCAAGCTGCACAGTGAGGCCAAGAAACAAAATAAATAAAATCACCAGCAACAAGACTATAACAAAACAGAAGGAAAGAAGAGATAACAGTGGGTAAGGAAGACAAGATAAGCTTTTCCTACCTAAATCCCTGTTTACCTAAGAAAGATAATCCTTTCTGAGGTACTTACTCCAGTCTTCAGAACTACCCTCTGAAAGATCCCAAAACCTAAGCAATGTCTTGGGTAATAGACTCAGCTATCCACCAGGGAAGCCTACTCTGCAAAAAGCCAGGCTAAACTCTCAACACAACAAAAACAAACACAAGCCAACAACAAAAGTCAGCGCAACAAAATAGAAACACCAGCCACCTACTCAACCTATATCGGACTTGATATGGACTGGTTTCCCTCCAAAGGAAATCCAGGTTTACCTTTCCAGATTACATTAAAATAATCAAATAAAAATGGAGTTACCAGCTTGTCTAACTACACATCACCTTCTAACTAAAGCACACACACACAAAACTACTTAAAAGTAAAACCTTTTCATTTCTTCTTTCTACTGTGAGAGAGAGGGGGTAAGAAAGGGGGTAGAGAAGCTTGCTTTCTGTAAGAAAAGTGAACTATGGAGGTTAGAAAAAAATAATAGGGAAGTAATTATTCATTCACGATCACCAACTGACCATCTTCCTGGGTTCCCAGTGATAAAGTGCAGAAACCAGACCTTTCTGGAATATGAAATATCAAACACAGTATGAATAAACCACTACTTCCATTAATTTATCATGCCTTGACTACTGTATCCTTCTACTTTTCTGTATGTTCATTCTATTCATTTTTGAGAGTTTGATATTGAAACTCCAACTGAAAAGCTTAATTTATCTACTTAAAAAAATAACTGTAATATATAGCAGAACTATATGTGACTTTATTCTGTATATTCCAAGTCTCTTTTTTTAAATTTTTTTTTATTTTTACTTTTTTTTACTAGTTGGATGCTAATTACTTTACAACATTGCAGTGGTTTTTGTCATACACTGAAATGTATTCCAAGTCTCTTGTAAATGTGTTATCATACTTTCATAATTTAAAAAATAAGAGAAAAAAATTAAAAATAAAAAATTATTGTGACTTGAAAATTTTGCATTCGTGTATTATTTTCTCCATCGTCATCACTAGAACTTAGGAAAAGATTGGCAATAGAAGACTGTCTTGGAGGGCAATCTTCTCAATCCTCTCCTGTCCTTAGCCTCAACAGAGTTCAGGTCCTGAAAGAAGAAACCATGAGGGGTGGAAGGTGACTCTGTTACCAGAACCATAAACCTCCAAGAGGAAGTTTATGGGCCCCTGGCCTAGAGACAGATGTCCTTTGGGCCACTGGACAGCCCAGCATCCCCATCTGACTGCTGAACATTCTGTGACAGTTAACACTAAAGGGTGATGGTGCCAGCATGTGTTTCCTCATGTAGAAAGGCAGGTTCATTTAACGAGCCTACCGCCTGGTTTGGGGCTTACCTGCATAAATCTGCAAGCCAAGATGAAAATTATTTAGTAATGGTTAAGGGTGGTAGCACACACGTATTTCCTGTTTTCATTCTTAACCTGGGTGGTAGCTAACTGCAAGGAATAGCTCAGATTTGCAGAAATATAACAAGCATGTTTAAATGTCAAAACTTCCGCCAAAGTTATGCAGCTGACTTCCAGGAGAGCTCCACACAGCCAACTTGATCCTCTCATCCTAAGATCTCTGAAGGCAATTCAAAACGAGAAGAATGTGATGTAATGGGTAATGTTCTCAATGCATTAACTACTGTCCAGATGGGTGAGGCACTAATCCCCAAACCAAAAATGGACTGGCAACTTCTTCTGGTCACAGCTAGATGTTTTTAAAAATCTTTAATTAGAGGAAAACTGCTTTACAATGTTGCTTTGGTTTCTGCCATACAACACCACAATCCAGTCATAATTATACATATATCACCTCCCTCTTAAGTCTCCCTCCCCTCCTCCATGCTAACCCCTCTAGGTCATCACAGAGCACCAGGCTGGGGTCCCTGTGCCATTCAGCAACTTCTCACCAGCTCAAAAATGCTGTGGGGCAGGTTTAACAAGAAATGTTAATATCACCCTTATTCGGTAAACCTGGGTTTACTGAGAAAGACTTTCTCCTTTATTATATATCGGACAAAATTATTTAGTGTTATGTTGAGAAGGATGGAAGGGTGTTTAA